TTGGCCGACAGAACAAAGCGATTCAGAGGACAAAATGGCTCAATCAAGGGAACAGCGATTTCAGCCCTGACATCCGCCTGACACTAGCAACTGGGTTCTTATTGTTATCTCCTTTTGAACCTCCGTAGGAGAACTTGCCTACCTTTGATACTGTAAGCACGAGGCTTCCTGTTTAAAGATTAAAGCAGCTTTCTGGCTTGTTAGAAAGAAATCACAAGGGAATGGGCTGCGCAGCCAGAAGCTGGGCTTCTCAAAAAGATGTCACTCTGCAGCAAGATTATCTCCTCTTCCATGAATATCAAAAGAGCCTTTGATTAATTCTCTCCATTAGGAGTCCCTCTCCCAATACTGTTAGGTGTAGGCTTGAAACAATATCGTCTGATTACCATTGTGTCCTGTGCAATTTACACTGCGGGTGCAAGATGCGAAACGCAAGATTGTTTTTCATCCTGTCACTCCAGATGCGACTATACTTTGGAAGCAGAATTAAAAACAATGCAACAGTAATTAAAGACTGGTGTCTTCCCTGGGACTAAGCGCAGCCCGCCGTGCCAAGATTTTGATGGACAGTATGTAATTAAAAGGCACTTTAAACCGCTACTGCACATAGCCAGGTACAAAAAGGTGACAGGAACGATTTTAATATAGGAAATTCAGAAAAATTACAGACATTTGAGTATGTCTGAAAACATCTGATTAAACATTTATATTTAAACCCTAGAGCACATGGAAGTGTTTATAACTTAAGTTCTGCTTTTTTTGTTTATATCAAGGATCAGTTTAATGTACATTATATTCACAGAAAATCACCAGTTAATGTAAATAAATATTTTAAAAAGGGAATGTTCTGAGGCCACAAATATTGGTGTTTTCCAGGATAAATCCTAATATGCCTGGATTTACCCCTCCTGCTTTATATTCACTTTGTCTAATTGAAATAGTTTAAAATTTTAGTTGTTGGCTTACCTATGCATGAATTATACCTAAATCATAAATTTCAATTGTTGGTTCATACATTTTGTATTTTTCGTTTTTTCTCTTTTTACTTTTAAAAGTATGTTTATTGAGATATGATACAAGTCACATAAAATGTATCACTTTTGTAGTTTATTGTTTAGTTAACTTTTTACCCTTTAGGTGCACAAAATGACAACATTTTGTCATAGGGATCTATCCTGATTCTTCTCTTTCCCATTCCCTTCCCCTCCCTTCAACCCCTCTAAATTATATACTTTAAAGAGTTTTAGTATATTCACAGTGCTATAGGACCATGACTGCTGTCCAATTCTAGAATATTGGACTTCTGTCCAATATTCACTGTTCCCAGTCTTTCTTCCTCTTGACTTCTAGCAGTTACGAATCTAATTTCTGCCTCTATGGATTTTATTACTTTGTATACTTCATAAAACAGACTCATACATTACATGTCCTTTCATGTTTACCTTGTTCTGCTTCGCATATTTCCACCCCTGTTGCATCCTGTGTTAGTACTTTGAGTCTTTTCATTACTGAATAACATTTCTTTTTTAAATTTTTATTTATAAAGGATACAAAATAGTAATTAAAAAAGCATTAGAAACAATGTTTTTGCCTTTTGGAAATAGGGTTTCACTATACAGTTCGGGCTGGCCTTGAACTCGCTTTGTAGCCCAGTTTGGTCTTGAACTCACAGTGATCTTCCTGCCTCAGCCTCTCGAGTGCTGGGATTACAGGCGAGCACCACCAGCTGGCTGATTTGAATCAGCCACCACTTCTACTTTTGTAGAGGAGAATAACGAGTGTAAGAGAAGAAAGATGGCAGGATGAGATTGTTCTTCTCACTCCCACAGCAGCATTTATGAGAAGGCCCATTTGCAAAAGCATTTTTTTTAATAGTGTCACTCAGTAGTTACTAAAATGCAGAGAATATTCGGTTTTATGGGTTGAAAAAAAAAGGTTGATTTTACCCACAAATCTACACACATGCATGCACGTACGCTGGAGCATGGTGGGGTACACCTGCAGTGCTAGCTACTTGGGAGCTTGTGGATGGAAGACCACTGGAGCCAGAAGGCTGAGACCGGTCTAAGTAACATAGCAAGAGCCTATCTCAAAAACAAACAAAAACCAAACCCTCATCTATGAGAGAGTTTAAAGTGGTTCACAATTTGTTAGTGTAAGTAGTGTATTTTGCTAACAACATCACCCTTGGTCCAGGCCAGGGGGCCAGATTGTCCACTTGCCAGGCCCATAGGCTGGGAAAATCTGATGGCATGAGGACATGCATCCAAGCCAGCAGCCCTGCCCAGCTCTGAGGTGCTTGGCGATTGTACCACAGTGTAGCAGAACCTGCTCACTATTCACACAGTTAGCCCTGAGCTTTCTTTGCTTGTTTTAGAATTTAAGGAAGAGATGGCTCTTACCTGACAATGAATAAACAGGCATAGAAACTCCTGATTGGAATTATTAATCATCTTTTAAAAAAAAGAAGCACAGCAGGGACCTTTAAAATGTCAGGCCTTTTAAAATGCATTCGGCAGATCTGAACTGCCCAAGTGAAAATTGTTGCTAAGTGAGTTTGGAGGCAATGCTTTGTGGCAATGGGAAGGCAGAGGGGACCTTCCGTTTCACTGGATCAGCATGACATCTGTGTTAGGACTTGGCTCCATTGGGACTCTCAGATCAGCTAGGACAATTCGGATTGTTATCCCCAAGGGACTCACTGTCTTTTTCAGCATTGGCAGTGAACTGTATTGTCTCATTCAGCAAAACAATCATCTGTGGAAAAGGTACGGTGCAGGTAGGTGTTAGGAGAATGAAGAAGGTATAAGTCTCAAGGAGCACTGAGTCTACGTGGAGAATTAGATGTAGACACAATGATTCCTTGCCAAAGGGAGGAAGGAAAGAAGGAAGGGAGGGAGAGAAGAAAAGGTGGACAGGAACAAAGGGAGGCAGGTCAAGGGAGGAATAATTGGGAAACAAATCTTTGTTCTTGTTATCTCTGTTCACTTTTTTTTATTAAATTGTTTAAAAATATAGTAGAGGTTCAAAATATGCTTGTATCTGGTGGTCTGGGCAACTACTTTGAAGACAACAATGTACAATGCGACAACCACTATTGAATACCTATCACTGGATTTTTTGGAATTGTGTATTGTTTCTAATATCTTGTCTATCGTTTTTCTATTCTATATATTTTTGATCACTAAACAAAGCCACAAGAGGGTCATACATGGTGGCCTATACCTGTCTTCTCAGCTCTAGGGAGGCTGAGGCAAGAGAGTTACTGCAAGTTCAAGGCCAGTTCAGGCTACACAATAAGCTCAAGGATACCCTGAGCCACAGAGTGAGATTCTGTCTTAAAAAACAAAAAAATAGGCAACAGAAAAATATTTCCCTTAAAATATACTTATATTCATAGTTTATTTTAGTTCCTTGAAAAGAAAGTTGTTTTGTTTTATTTTTCGTATTTTAGGGCAGGGTCTCTCTATGTAGATCAGACTCGTAGTGATCCACCTGTGTTCAGCCTCCCAAGAGCTGGGATTACAGGCGCGTGCCACCATGCCTAGTCTCAATGGCCATCTCAGAGCACCCCAGGGGCGGGGCTGACACAGCATACCGGGGATCGAATCCTAGCTGAGGCCTCAAACAAAGTTTTTGTTTTAGTCTGTTTCTTTTTTGTAAGAATCTTTTTGGTTGTATCTGGTACTGTGCAAACTACTTAAAAAAAATATTTTATTTTTAAAAGTAAAAACAACAGCAAAAACAAAGATCAGAAACAGGAAGCAGGGAAACATACAATACATATGTTACAGATAC